GACAAAATCGTGAGTTTCTTCTCCTCGGGCATGGGTTCTTGGCGATGGGACTTGTTTCAGCACCTCCTGCCGAAACCGTCTTGCTTCAAATCGCGACCGTCCCGACGCCGCAAGAGGAGTTGGGCAGCGATCGACTTTATTGGGGTCATTCGGATACAGGTAAGTTTACTACTAAGTCCGCATACAACCTGCTCTCTGGTTCCGTTTTCTCTAGTGGCAATCGATTGTGGCGAGTTATATGGAGGTGGGTTGGCCCTCAGAAAATAAGACATTTCTTATGGCTCCTTGCAAAAAATCGATTGTTGACTAACGTGGAACGTCAAAGACGACACTTAACGAATAATACGACCTGTGAGATATGTGGGCAAAATGAGGAATCGGGGCTGCATGTTGTACGTGACTGTCCACTTGCGAAGAAGATTTGGAGACGCCTGCTCCCAGGTAACGTTCATGCACATTTCTTTGATTTAAACCTGGAGGAGTGGTTATGGTTGAATTTGGGGAACTCACTGCATTTCGTTGTGGATAACTGGGAGAGAACCTTTGGCGTCGTGGCGTGGAAGCTTTGGAGGTGGCGAAATGAGTTCCTCTTCCAGAATATTTCAAGGACTGTGTCTGCCGGCTTAAATGAGATTAATGGGTACATGGCTGGTTTGGAGAAGGTGTTGGAAGGGGTTAGAAAGATGGGAGTGACTGGATGCATGCGGGTTCCTCGGTGGATACGATGGGAAATGCCCCCGTCGGGATGGGTGAAACTTAACTCGGATGGCGCCTTCAGTGGCGCGTCGGGTATGGGTTGTGCGGGAGGACTAATCCGGGACGAGCAAGGCCATTGGTTGGGAGGCTTTTCAATGAAAATCGGGTTTTGCTCGGTAATGGCGGCGGAGCTATGGGGATTGTTTCAGGGGCTGTCTCTGGCGTGGAACTTGGGGTTTAGAAGTATTGAAGCTGAGGTGGATAATGAGAATGTCGCGAGGATTGCCAGGACATTTGACGAAATACCAGGGGTACATACTGGACTCATTTTGGGTATTAAAGAGCTTCTGAGCCGGCACTGGAGAGTTAAGGTAAATCATGTCTTCCGCGAAGCGAACTTTGCAGCCGACTTTTTGGCTTCTTTCGCGTCGGAAGGATCTTTGGGGTATCACGTTTTCAGCATTCCACCGGATGGTATCAGACCGTGGTTAGAGCACGATCTCATTGGTATTTCTTACTCACGGAGCGTGTGTAACTCAAGCCGTTAGGCTTTGTCTTCTTCTTGTACCAAAAAAAAAAGAATTAAGGAAAACTAATACAATATCTGTGTATTATACATGTACTTGTTAAAAAATTATTCTTAAATTTTAATTAATGAGAAAAAATATTTTAAATTATGTTTATTTTTTACAAAGTATATACTATTATGAATTTTAGAATGACATTTGTTACTTGTGCGACTTACATGTGTTATATTATAGTAATTTTTTTAATACATACAATATGGGGGTAAATCAAAGCTCATCAACAAATAATTAATTTGATATATTATATATGTAAAACCGATAAGAAATACAAAAGTTATTAACTTTAAAATACATTTAGAATTCAATGATTATATAATATGGAATGATATTAAAATGCAATTAATACATTTAACATGACTATAAATAATCATATTTATGAATAATTCGAATATAATTATTTTTAGATTGGAAGTAAATTAAATCTACCCAAACCAAATAACGAATAATGTAATTTTGCGGATCTCGAAGCATGCAAGTCTGCCATTTGACTAATTTACTTACACGTCTTTTTTAAGGCTTACTAGTACGTAGCTCATGTGATGCACGAGACATATATAGATATTAAATTAGTTATTTATTTCCATAGGCTCTGTTCGTTTAAGTCTAAACCCCCATAGAATTATAATATATTTTTCACATCTTTTAACCACCGTTGTTTTTTTAATCAAAACATTAAATATAAGCATGTTATGGTTAACTTGTAAAATAACTAATATATTATCTCACTAGCACATTTATACTATTATAAATTTAATTTTGATTTTTGTTATATATATTTATTTCTTGATATAAGAGAAAATAATAATTTTACTTATTATTATTCACCATATAATATTTAATTATAAATTTCGTGTAATGTCATTATTATTAATGCACATTAGTATTATTTATTTATGTAACCAATTTAAAATATATTAACAAATTTAAAATAAATAATGTATAAATATTTTACAAAATATACACACATATTTTTTTTTAGAATTTAATTTATTATACTCATTAAACAACTTTGATTTAACAAATGTCAAAAACTCAATCTTTTCTATAATCAAGAATTTTCTAATTAGGATTTATAGTTTATTTAACATACGCTTCATGAAAATATATTTTACAAGAATTTTATTATAGGAAGAAATAAAAATTAAAAAAATAATAAAAAAATAATTATGGTTGCCAATAATAAAACAAAAAGATAAAAAAAAATAACTAAAAATTAGAATATTATCGAACCTGGAGTCCTCAAAACTTGAGAAAAGATGAAAAAAAAAAAGAGAAACGAGTTATGTCTAACATAACTAGAAACTAAATTCGAACATTCAATTACGAATAACCGACCTTTTTAACAAAGACTCGATTTTTACATTCAAAAATTCAATATTTAACCAACTAATCGCTGAGTGGAGCAAAACAAAAGGAGAGCTAGAAAATTAACTAAAACTGAGACCAACACATGAATTTCGGTCAAGACACTATATTTACCTCTAACACAAAGTAAGCAAAAACAGAGCAAAATTGAGATAGTAAGTCCTAAACTAGCTTCTTGCTTCCCTAATGCATGCTCGAGCGAAATAAACGCAAAAAGCTCAAAACATTACTAAAATGACATTGTCGGAAAAATCGCTGAAAAGTTCAAGTCTTGAAGCTCAAAACAATAAATAGAGCGAGAAAAAGAGTGAGAAAAGAAAGAGAAAGAGCTAATTTTCCAACTAAAAAGTTTGGAAATGAGGGATAATGTTCAAAAATACAAAGCAACAAGTCTATTTATAGTTACTCCACCAATACACAATTGAAACATACACATCTAATGAAGGACACTCGCAGGTTGGCAAACTTGTCGCTGGCACTCCTCGGTGGGGGACAGTGTCGCTGGGTGAACATGTCAAAATGTAAGTACAATAAAAATTCAGTCATCTGGGAAAATATTCATCTATTTTGTATCATTTTGGGGCCATGGCCGAGTGGTAAGGCGGGGGACTGCAAATCCTTTTTCCCCAGTTCAAATCTGGGTGTCGCCTAATCAAGTTAAGAGCTCAAAGAGGAAGGGAAAAGGGGTTTCTACTTGCCTACAGTGAAACCAATAGCTCTTCAGAAAGTGATTTCGTCTATTCTGCCTTGCGCTACGCCTATATCTCCAGGTGTCAAGCTATCCGCCCCTACTCTTATAAAATCAAAAGAAAGGCTCAATCGAGAACGATCGCTTTCAAGTTCAAGATGTTTTCGTCGGGAATATGAACAGGCAACTATGAGACTAGTTTCCCATTGTCCCGATAAAGCGTACCTGAAGTGAGTGTGCCTTTCCATCAACTCTTTCTTTCTCCTTGCTTGCCTTGTACTCTCGTTGTCTTGTACTTTACTTCTTCTTACGCTAGCACCTACCGATAGAAAAGTTTCAAGACTTGGAATTGGAAGTGGGATGGAATGGATCAGCAAACCAGCCTATCTTTTGTCTAGTGATTACGCAGTGGTTGGACAGTGTCGCTGGGTGAACATGGCATGGCGTAGGATGGGTCTTGTATTAGTGCATATTCTGAAAGCTCGACTTTAGATGTTATTCACACTATTTATGTTGAATGAGATTTCATGCTCGATTAGACAAAGTTTTATGTATTCTATTGTTTTGAACTTAGATAAATGGTTCATCACGGATAGACAGAAGATCATTTATCAATGACTTGTGAATTAAACATAAAGAAATTATTTCACAACCAATATGGAAATTGAACCGGCCATCAGAATGGTTGTACAATGAACGATATAGTCGCTCTTGATTGATTAATTACACTAGTACAATTGTGTATTGAACGGATCCCAGAGTGGAGCAGTACGTTTTGTATTGATCGGTGCAAACGAACTAGGCCTCGACCAATTACTGCGTACTCTTTACCCATAAATTATAAACAGACACTTATATGTAGTTATTACTACTTTGATTCTGCATGGTGAGATTCATTCCATATGGATCAATAACTGATGGAGTTGGGTAGTAAATACTGCATGACATGGTGCGTTGTTAAAATATTTACTGTCACCATGTACTTCAGATAGTTAAAGAGTTTGATGATGACCCTGAAGTGAGCTCAGAATAATTATTATGTTAAATACAGTAGGTGGATTAAGTTCCAACATAATAATAATGCATTAAGTGGTGCTAGCTTCGGTTCAAGACGGTTGATTTGATTGTCAATAATTAAATTAATTGATTGACATTATATTTTAAACATGGAGAAATAAATCGAGTAATTTAGATTGGAGCTCAAATTTCAATAAGACTACCGCGAACTCGCAACAGGCCGCGCGACTATGCGCGTGCACCTGGCAGCGTGCTGTCGAGGGCACCTAGGTGCGAGACTCGATCAGCCAAGGAGCGCGACCGTATGCTTATTTTTTAGGCTCACTATCGCTGCTTAATTTTTATCCCATTTTGTAAAACATGTATCAAGTGTCCCTTATCCATGTGACATTCTGTTATTTCAACTTATATCTGATTGATAGAATTTGGACAATTTGACATTGGTATACAAAGAAACAATTAAAGCATCATTCCTGAATAAGACACACATTTGGTATTTGAAGCAGCAATTGTGAGGCAAAACTGCAGCAATTGTGACTACAAATAACTGTCAATAGAGTAAAAGGTGTACTCAGCAATAGCCATCTCAATTACATTTACAGCATAAGAAACAAATCCAAGAAACAGAGATTAGTTGGGCCGGTGGTCTATGACTCGGAAAACCACTCGTGTTTGAGCGCGTCTTGAGCCGTTATCCTTTCCTGCGGATCGTAGCACAAAAGCCGTGAGAGCAGCTGAAACCCACTCTCCGAAAGCAACAGCCCACCTTCTTCCGAAACAGTGGCAGCACCAAACTTTTCGCGCAGCAAACCATGAGGCTGCTCGAGATTGGTCACGATAATCCGAAGCTGATCGATTTCCGAGTCCCCTTTGAAAAGCACTTGCCTCAAGAAGAACTCCGCCATAATGCAGCCGACCGACCACATATCAACAGCCGACAAGTAGGTGTGGGCCTCGAGAAAGAGTTCGGGAGCCCTGTACCAAAGGGTCCCCACGTGAGGGGTGCAGACAGGATCCAGCGCGCTTGGAAACTGACGGGACATCCCGAAATCGCATATCTTGAGCTTGCCCATGGCGTCAACAAGGACGTTGGAAGGCTTCAGGTCCCTGTGCATCACCCGATTCTGATGAAGATGATTGACTCCTTCAAGTAGCTCCTTCATAAGGCGCTTGACTTGAGGCAGAGTGAAGGAGGGCCTCTTGAGGTACTCGTGAAGATCATACTCAGCGTACTCCATCACAACGTAAATCC